TAATTTATAGAGTTTGAAGGGAAACCCTGATTTCACAAATCAAATTTTTTCCTTCCCCTGCCATCAGGATTCAGACAACAGTCTATGGTGGACTGTGTTGGGAGACAGATGTAAAGGGAAGTATCATGTGGTTCTCAGAGTCATTCCTACTCAACAACCTCTAAGGCTTTCTTACTAGACTAAGCTTATTTGTCCCTTTGTCTCTTTCCTTAGGATCACTTTTTTCCCCAAAGCCTCCTCAGTCCTATAAGAAGAGAGACATCTAAGTGGACAACCCTACCAAGATTTATACAGGCAGCTCCCAGAATGTGCTGGAGATCCTGACACTAACACTGGGATTTTGAGCCCGTAAATAAATAACACAATCTCTGTGTAAAACAATCTCTGTTCCCATGAGGCATATGTGCCCAGGGATACTCCATCCTCACCAAGAATTATGCAAGAGAAATTCAGGTTAAATGTATCTTAATGGACTGAAGTTTTACATAAAGAGGCATCTTCTCAAAATGAAAGCCATACAATAGGAATTCTAGAGGGAAACAGGGTCTTTTCGAGAGTAACTTTACAGTCAGAAAAATAATTCTTGTTTTGCAGGATAGTGATGTTGGAGAACGGCAAAGATATGGCATGAGCGCTTAATCTTCCCATGGGTGCTCATGGGAGACACACCTAATTGATCACAGCCATCTCTCTCCTGGAGCTCATAAGCAGCCTCAAAACACTTCTCAATGAAACACTCTAGGCAGGCAGCGTCAATCAATCAGAGTGGCATGTGATATTAAAATATATTTGCCATCCTGAGTTTAGATGAAATGGGGGAATGGACGAGATGTTATTATGAGGCCCTTTCTAATCCTAGGGTTCCATAACAGTCGGTGATAACATCAATCTAACACTGTATCCTCAAACTGTTATTGCCAGATCTGGATGACTATTGCAATTAATTGGTGAAATACGCTTGCAATGTCTAGTAAAGATAGCCTGTTCTGCCTAGTAGAGTTTTTATTTTCCTCTGTATATCATGAGATCTCTATTTGCCCCATATTTTCTGCTGATGAAATATTATTGATGGTGGTGGAGATGGTGATTATTATTAAGACTATCAATAATAGTAAGAAGAAGCTACCCTATATTTCCTGGTAATAAAATAAGGATGATTAGTTAGCTTGCTAACTTATGCCATTCATCTTCTACCTCTCTCTTCTTGACCTCCCTAAGGCACCACACCCATTAAGGTTGCTTTTTAAAGTGATATTTCAGTTCGCCACATGTGTCAATCAGAAAGGTAAGGACCCATTTTTGCACTGATGTCTGTCAATTCAGTTATGAGAGAAAGATACTGTTCCCCATTACCAGTGGGTAAACACATGTAAAGAAGCACTAACCATTCATTCTCTGCATTCATATTGACCTATCTTTGCTAGATACCTTCTTTTCTCTGTTGAACTTTCAGCTCATGACCTTTCTAGTGTTCGTGTCTTTATTTCACAGCTGACAAAAACAAAACCCAAACTGAGAAAGTGAGGCTGAGTCTGTACAGGAAGTCAGTGTCAGAGCACAACTAAAACCCAGATCTCCTGGCTGCTGTGTGCAACTTTAACCACAGGCCGATTGTTTTTCATTACATCACACTTACCAGTGAGATGCAGTCTACCTTTGGATTGAAAAGTTGGGTGTTCTGATTAAATCAGATCTAGTTCTCAGTTACGAATTGAGTTCATCTCTTTTGAAAAAGTCCCTGTGTGTTAGCTAACTCGAGGCTGTGCAGGTCAGGGCGTTTTCAGTGTGGAGCAGATCCCCAGCTATAGATGGGCGTCTACATGTCTGTATTTGCATTCCCTCCCACACACAAATACCCAGCACAGCACACACTTGTTAATTTAATTTATTTATAAACATAACCTGCCAAATTTTGAGATGATGGATGATTTGGGGCTTTAATAAATCCAACATTGAATGAGCCCAAGAAATTGTCTAGTGTCAGCTTTTCACTAAATGCAATTAGTCATGTGGAAATATTACAGATATAAAAAATAATCTTCAGCAGAATTTCATAAATTTGGTAGAGTACACAGAATCTAGGAAAGCTGCTTGTTTAGAAAGTGAAAAAAGAAAAAACATGGGAGAAAGCAAAGAAGGAAGAGAGTGAGGAAGACGAAAAAGGAAGAGGAGGAGGAGATGGAGAAAGGAAGAGGGGAGAGAGAAATAAATATTGATGAGAGAGAGAGAAAGACAATGTCACCTGCTCTTGCAATTCCATGACTCTTTTCTGTATACACAAGGCAAGCATTGCTATTCTTTGCAGATCCTTTGCCCTGCATACATTTGGCAGTGAAGATGGAATGGCAGCTCCTCATTTTGGTGTCTGCACTGCCTTACTTTCACACTTATTCATTTTCCCTGCAGTCATCTTTGAGGAGGTTCAGACAAGTTCCCAAAAGAGACAAAGCAAACAATGAGTAGGGTTGGCCCCTGGAGCTTTAGGATCCACATTGGCAAACTGCACTCACTACTAGAAGTCATCCTCCTCTTCTTAGATGGTTCCTGTTCTTGTCGTCGTCTTCTCCAGTATTGGTCCAGCTTCCAGAGCGTTGGTTTCAGGTCCTGGACAGAGCCAGGACTGGGAGAAATAATCCCAGCCATAGGATCTTCTTGAGAACAGGGGATGTGTCTTATACATGACCTGGTCACCAGTGGCTGGCCCAGGACTTGGCAGGTAATAGGTTCTCAATGAATATCTGTTGGATGAATGAATGGTTTTGACTTTCCTCATCTCATCTAAGTTGAGAAAAGATTCACTAGGATCTTATAAATAAGTTCTTAAGGAGGTGTATTCCATCCCTGTCAGAAAGTGCTCTATTCTTAAAGAGTAAACAGAAAGAGAGTAACTTAATTCAGAACATTTATTTTCTAATAATGAAACTATAAGCTCTGGTGGAGCATGTTCTTGAGCTCATTCTTGAGGTTGACCTGCAAAGTAAAGTGAACTTTAAGCTAAGGTGATTAGAGTTTGTGCTTTACTGTGTGATGTTTGTTTTCATTGCTTGGTCCTGTGATACAAATGTGCCTGAAAGACAATACGGCACAGTGGTTAACATAGAAACCAGCTTAACTCATTTAACCTTTTGTGCCTCAGTTTCCTCATAGAGGGCAATAGTACTTACATTATATGATTGTGGGTGAAGATTAACTGAACTGATCTTGGCAGAGCACTTTGAACAGAGCCTAGAACGTAGTAACTACTGTGTAAGAAGGATCTATTATGATGTTTTGATTGAAGAAAAGACAAAAAAGAATGAGCTATTATTTTTCTTAGACTTCATCCTATAAGACTATGAAATGCGAATAGTAAACAACCTCCCTGCCCCATTTCTTATTTGTGTGATATTGATACTAAGCACAACATAGTAAGTGCTGTATCTGAAATAGGGGCCCTATTTAGTGGTTTAGGGAGATGCTGACATTTGTGTTTTTTAAATCTACCACTGGAAATTAGCATAATGGGGAAGACCGTGTGAGGAACATTCGCATCAGGAGACAGACTGCCGTCAAAAAGGAAACAGAGATGCCCATGCAGTCATCCAGATTCTGAGTCATTGAGTGTGGGGGAGAACATCTCAATAGGAATAAACAGAATTTGGTGCATAAACTGTGATTTGAGCAGCAAGTCCTGCAGTATAGTTGGGGCTGGCTTTTCAACTTAATTATGCACATGTGTCTCCGGCAGAGTTTATTGAATCATATGGTGTAAACCATAAACAAACACTAAAAACCTGGCTGGGTTGACGGCTACAAGCTACAAAATGATCTTTAAAGATCAAATATTTATTCCAAAATCCCAGGAGCCAACCTCTCTGCATTAAAGTCAAAAGCAAGTGATCCATTCTTCCTCAACAGTAGTTTATGAATCTTCTTCCTGATTGGAACATGCACAAACAAATTACGGTCCCCTGAGTGCCACGCCGCACGGAGGAGCCAATTTGGGTGACACACAAAATGCATAATCTAAAGGATTAGTAAATTGCCTTGGCAGTGAATTATCTCTGCAGAGCTTGACATAAATCAACCTCGTGATGCGCCATTGAGGGAATGTAAAAGCCTGGGCTCCCCAATAGTTTTCTGGATTCCCTCTGGCAGGGCCTCATTAGGCCTGGGAAGGCTGATACACTCAGCAGGGTGGCTTCTGAGGGTAGCTAATGGGAAAAAAAATGCAGACATTCCATCCTCTGCCTACTACAAACAATCTCATGATTAGCTGCAAAACCCAGGCCGCCTCCTCATTTCTCAGGGAAGAGAGGCCTATATTGTGTTTCCCAACCCCACTCCAAGGCTGCTGCCTCATTGCTAATTTCCATTCCATTTGGGATCTGAAATGCAAGCTGATATCACCAGGCTTTGCTGCAATTCTGGGTTACTCCTCAGAACGTTTGTTCCTTTTTCTTTTCATGGAGCAATTCACAAGCCAGCTCAAAGTTCATAACTCTGCCTATGGCTGGCTGGTGGCTTTGCATGTGTGTTTTTACAATAGCTATATATGTATGCACATATACATATTGAAGCATAAGTATAAATATCTGTGTGTTATGGCCCATGCGAGGGAAGCCTCCTTCCTGCAGGGAGTTTGAGCTATCTGCAAATGACCACCTGGTCCTGTTCATCTTCCAAGACATTGCAAGTCCAATCAAGCCTCCCAGATAAGGAATGTATTATAAAGATACATACATGTCAAGATGCTGATGCAAGCTATATCAGGGACAGCAAAAATAAAGAATAAATAAATAAAAAGTCATTGGAAGATTCTGTTTGAGGAAGTTGTCTATGATGGCTTTCCAGCATATTTGCTGGATGTCCTCTGCTTATATACTGAACCAAAAATCGTATTTTTATTGCTGATGTTGTTAAGACCATCGTTTCCTCGACCCTAATCCTGGTTTGGTTTGTTTCCTTCAATATGACTTTGTGTTCTCTAAATAGATATTGCCAGCTGAGGTCCTGGGGGCCGTGTGCACTTGGAAAACAGATTTTGTTTACCACCACCTATAAATTTTTGTGAAGTGTCAATATTCCAACTTAAAAAAGAAAGATTTGTTACTTCTCTTGCAAAATAAATCAGAAGATTGGGTCTTCGTTGCACCAAGGAATACTGCTGTCCCACCGTGTGGCAGGAGCGAGGTCACTCTGAGAGGAATCTCAGCTTCAGAACATCCAGATATCCTCACATCTCCCTCTGCCCCAGATCAGCTCCTGTTCTCCAGTGGAGCTATTCACACTCCAGGTCATCTTTGAGGCTTGTGGGAGTTACTTCAACTCTCATACCTCTGCAGCCAAGGAAGACTTGGGACAAAGAAGATCTGAGACCTCTTGTCTTTCCAGGCCCAGTGGCCATCCTTTAGGCCTCCTGGACTTTGACAGTTCTTTGGCACAAGGCAACCCAAACTAACTAGATAATATCCAGACCCAGGAGCCAGAATGTGCTAGTCCATTTTTGTATTACTATAAAGGAATAGTTGAGACTGGGTAACTTATAAGGAAAATAGGTTTAGTTTACTCACGGTTCTGCAGGCTGTACAGAAAGCGTGGCAACAGCATCTGCTCCTGTTGAGGGTCTCAGAAAGCTACAATCATGGCAGAAGGCAAAGCAGGGGAGCAGGTGCATCATGTGGCAAGGGACAACAAGCAAGAGAGGAGGTGCCATGCTCTTTTAAACAACCAGATCTCATCTCACCACCAAGGAGACAGCATTAAGCCATTTATGAGAGATCCACCACCATGATCCAATTACCTCCCACTAGGCCCCACCTCCAACACTGGAAATTACATTTCAACGTGAGATTTGGAGAAGACAAACATCCAAACTATATCACAGAGTAAGAGGATGGAGGAGAAATACCAGCTCTGGGAACTTCTTCCCCTAGAGAGATTCAGAAGACCTAGTAACCGTAACAGAGGAGATCCTGCACGGGCTCAGGTAAGCACCTGAGTACAATGTTACCTTTATGCGGCATAGAGACACCTTGGAGGATTCGGGGAAGCAGGGGTGCTAAAGATTTCTGATGTCAGGGAGGGGCCTTGCCCAAGAGCCTGAGGGTCCCACACTTCGCCATGTATGGTCATGGGCAGTCCACCAGCAGTCTACAAGGCCTATAGTGACTTTGTGGATTCTCTGTATTTTTCCACCAGAAGAGTTTCCTTAAACACAAGGTAAAATTGCACTCTTTTCCCAGTTCCTAAACATCCAGGACATGGTTTCCTGTTCCTTGCCTACCTCCCCTTGCCTGCCCCACAACTTATGTGGATGTGAGAATATTCTGTAAGATGTCCTCCTGGAAATGCTATGCTTAACCTGCACGCTGGTCCTTGTTCATTCCTTCTGCTGCAACCCTTTATAGATGAGGCCCCTTGTCTCCAAGCACTGTCAAGCTGCCTGACAGTAGATTGAAGCCTTGAGTGTGGACACTGGTTTGGGAGAACATTAACCAGAGTCCTTGAGGTTTTTATCTACAACTTAACACTCAGAGAGAGATGAGCACTAGAGTTTGTTTATATGGTTCTAATAAAATACCCTTGGCACTAAGCCTTTACATCACTGATGGCATCGTCTCGCTCACTGCATTCTGGCATGGTACATACCTTTCGTAGCAACACTGCTCTGCCTCATTGCCGCCTCTCCATTTTCTACCACCATAGGGAACTTTGTCCTAGAAGTTTGTCAGTACCAAAACGATCTGAGTGCTGTTCAGAGAGTCCTGCATAATAGCAGTTGGTGGCTGAAGGCCAGGAGGAGTTGTACTATGATAGGCTATAGCCATGCTGAAGAGCATCTGGGCAAGAGATGCTGCCTGACTCTCAGTCTCATGCTAAAGGAGTAAAGAGATGAAGAAACTCATCACTGCCTCCTGAAGGGACTGCCACTTGGGCTTCTTTGAGAGGATGGCACCTCTGCCCTTCGACCCTGGCCCTATAAGCTTAGTATATAAAGCTTATATATAAAGCTCCATAAAGCTTAGTTCAGAGACTCTTATTCCTGGCCAAGACCCTGAAGAATCTGAATATGCGGTGGAAGAGATGCTAGATTCCTACTGGTGGCTAGCCAGGTCCAGCAACTGGTTTCCCCAGGAATAAAACAGGCCAGAACCAGAGCTCTGGAAGTCTTCCTCGCACAGCCATAACATGCCAGAGTGCACTAGAGGTTTTCATGGAGCAAACCTGAAAAAATTGAATTCTGCCCTATCCAGGGGAACTGGTGAAGTGCTGGGAGACGTGGTGCTGGCAATATCATTTGTATCTGAGCATGAGCAGTTGTATTTGTGTTTACATTGCTCAAGAAGCTTCTCCAGTGTTCACATTTCAACCTTCACCTTTAGACATCCACCTTTTACCTGGTTTCCCCAACACAGCTTATCCCAACCAGCATAAGTTCTTTTGCGATAACGAGTCACTGAGAGGAATGTTTACCAGCTCTGTCTTGGTTGCTCGTGGTGGTAGGAGGATCCATCCTTGCTCCCCAAACCCTGTCTTGGCAGGCAAGTACCCTTGCCTTGCTCCTTGCCATTCTTTTGTTAATTGAAGCCACTAATGGCTTGATGTTGAGTGCCCTCTCAGCCCCTTACCCACTGTCTGGCCAGGGTGCTAAAGGAGAGAGAAAGCCCTTGCAGCAGGTCACAGGCGGAATCAACTGCTGCGTCGAGGAAGTGGGTAATCCACAAATGATTGCGAGCCAGTGAATAAGCACACATTGATTATGCTCATTTCACTACTAGTGGAACTGCCTATGGGGAGGATGGGCTGGGGAAAAATTGATGAGCTGGTTAATGTGGCTTATTGGCGAGACAGTTTTAACACCATGTGGCTTTAAGAGTCCTGTTTAAAAAAAATTAATGTGGAGATTGCATTCTAATGGGTCTGAGTTCATACGCAGCGAGTTCCAAATATGTGTCTCTAGGGGCAGTTCTTGCATTAGGCTCTTTGTTCTGAAATCCCTTGGGGTGGAAGAGGGTAACGTATCATACTGAACATTTGTTAAGTGTCACTGGTGTTGCGCACACACCATGTAGAGGATGCAGTCGGGTGGGATGTGTGGATGTGTGTCTCCCTAGTGCTGAGCACGTAACAGTAATGAGATGTCCTAACTTGGAAGCTGAGATGTCGGGGAGACGAGGGTTGATGAATGAGATGGATGCTAAATGGAACTCTGAAGGGGAAATCAAACCCTAATGGAGTTAGAGAAGACTTAGATGATATTGAATGTATCAAGAGCAAAAGAGACTGAGGGCAAGAGGAAGGAATGTAAAGAAGGAAGGAAGGAAAGGAAGGGAGGGAGGGAGGGAAGGAAGGGAAGGAAAAAGAAAAGAAAGAGTGAGAAAGAGAAAGGAAAGGAAAAGAGGGAAGGGAAGAAAGAAAAGAGGGAGAGAAAGAGAGATAGGGAGGGAAGGAAGAAAGGCAGGCAAGTGAGCTAGAGAGAAGCTAGACAGAAGAAAAGGATGGATGGATGGAAAGAAGGAAAGAAAGAGAAAGGAAAGGAAAAGAGAGAAGGGAAAGAGAGATAGGGAAGGGAGGAAGGAGAGGGAGGAGGGAGGAAAGGAAAGAAAGGCAAGCAGGTGAGCTAGAGAGAAGAAAAGAATGGATGGATGGATGGATGGATGGATGGATGGATGGATGGATGGATGGATGGAAGGAAGTAATGAAGGAGGGAGGGAAAGTTTAGTTGAGAGAGGGGTAGAGATAGGGAAGAAAGAAGGGGAAGGAAGGTGCTAATGATTCTCATCTATTCTTCTATCACTAAAATGCATCCTGGCCTCCACCTCATTGCTCACTCCATTGTTCACACTGGATTTAACTCTAAACCTTACTCAAGTCCTTTAGTAAATCATTCCTGGGCCATTCTAGCTCACAAAGATTTCTATCACTGATGATCTCATTAAGTAGCATTTCATGTGTTATAATAGAAATTTACTTTTACTTTAAAATGCTGTTTAATTAAGCTCTTTCTCCACTGCAAAAAAATTAAAAAATAAAAATAAAATGTGGCTCAAATATTTAATTTGCTCAAATATTTTATCAGCTCCTTTAGAGCACATTTTATCACTTACTCATCTCTGCACCTGCCATAGTTTTTGGTACAACATTGGAACATAGAGGAGGCAAAGTTGGTGATTATGGACTGCACTTGATTTGAAATTTGAGTCATGCAAATTAAGAATTCTCCCCACCACCTTGAAAAGGCTAAAGCCCTTTGCTGTTTTTGCCCAATACCTAGCAGGTTGGTCCTGATGATATTCTTCTCCTTTTTCCCCTCTGCCTTAGTTTCTACTCCTTAGGATCCTCCTTTCCTTGATCTCCATGTCCCAGCCCTGAAGAAAGTGAGCCAGTGAGAATGTCCCCCTCCTGCCATCTTGGCAATTATCTTAGCCAAGCCTGGTCACAGTGGCAAGTCTTGACCTCAAGACTCCCTTCCTACCCAACGGAAGCCCTCCACCACTCCATTGAAAGCCAATGCACAAGTTTTTCCTGGTCAGGAAGTCCTACTGGCTTTCTCTCCTGGTTTCCTTATTTTTGCACCATGTTCTCAAACCTGGAGACCCCTCGTTTCATGGTTCCTTCAAATGGTCAGCTCTGTGGGAAGCCCTGCCTGGTTCCGGTTTCTCACGGTGCTGCTACTCACTGGGATCATCCCTTCAGCTTCTCGTGCTCAGCTCACAAGCAAGTGATCCTCAACCTGGTGCCACATCCTCTTCTTAGACACCCTGCTTGTCACAGAGGGAGATCTGGACAAGACTTGTCATTGAACTACTTGCCTGAGCAACATGATTCAGATTGTTTTCTCATGTGACCACCTTGCTTCTACTCAGGGACACCAAGGCGTGAATGGCTGGTGCCCAGCATCTCATCTCATCTCAGGGATACCATTAGGAAGGTGCCCAGCATCTCATCTCATCTCATCTCATCTCAGGGATACCATTAGTAAGGTGCCCAGCATCTCATCTCATCTCATCTCAGGGATACCATTAGGAAGGTGCCCAGTGTCTCACCTCATCTCAGGGATACCATTAGGAAGGTGCCCAGTGTCTCACCTCATCTCAGGGACACCATTAGGAAGGTGCCCAGCATCTCATCTCATCTCATCTCATCTCATCTCATCTCATCTCATCTCAACTCATCTCATCTCATCTCATCTCATCTCATCTCATCTCATCTGATCTCAACTCATCTCATCTCATCTCATCTCATCTCATCTCATCTCATCTCATCTTATCTCATCTCATCTCATCTCAGGGATACCGTTAGGAAAGTGCCCAGCATCTCATCTCATCTCATCTCAGGGATACCATTAGGAAGACCCACCTTGTTTCAGAGATATGGAAAACACTCGATTTCCTTTTTACCTCCAATTTCCCCTTTCCCTGAGTACTTTTTAAACCCTGAGTTCCTTTACATCTGGCTTAAAAGAAATCCCATTTAAACCTCCAGAGCTTTTAACTTTTCAAAACTTTTTCTTACTTTTAGTCTCATTTGATCATTACGATATCCCTGCGAGGTAAGTAGAGCAAGCATTATTCAACCCATTTGAATAATGAGCAAAAGAGACCCAGGAAGATGAGTGTCTTGCTCCAAGTCCCCTGAGAAAGGACCTTTGTCTCCTGACTCCTGGGTCAGTGTTTTATTCGTCATTCTAAGGACCTAAGTGACTTGGCCATCCTCTTTTCAAGCTCGCTAGTGTCCTGGGTCCATCCAGCAGGAGAGGGAGGGGGGATGAGGATGTGTGGGGACAGGGCTGGGGGTGGTGCAGCAAGGAAGAAGGTTCATAAGGGGAATAATGCTTACATGGCTTACATGTCAATGGCTACTCATTAGCAAGGAGAGGTCAGGGCACCTGCCGATAATGATGTCTGCATTATGGTACTTAATGGAAATGGTGCAGTACCAGCCCCATCAAAGACTAATCTGCCCAAGAGACACCCAGGCCCAGCA